CACAAAGTGTATCCTATCTCTCTCTGAGGTGCGCAATGATGCTATCCCTGACGCTGTCATAAAGTTGCAAGTCATTGTCAGACAAAAAAACTCTCTAAAGCAGGGAAAGCTGAAACTCGCCTGCTTTGGCTCTGATTTCGAACAGCTCCAGCTTTGCACATCAAAAACGTTGACAGACTCAGGTGCCACCTCGCGAATACGGGCTGCTACTCCACTGTGGTGTCCAGTCATTGCCCTGGCACCGTCTGTGCAGACCCCGACACACCTTTTCCAATCTATCCCACTTTCTTGGATAAATATGTTCAGTAGCTGAAATATGTGCTCAGCTGTAGTTCTGGTCTCCAGTGGCTGACAGAACAGAAAACCCTCATGAGCTGCACCTTCATATTCATATCTCACGTACACAAGCACATTTGCCAAATCTGCAACATCAGTCGTCTCATCTAAAGGGAATAAAATCGACTACTTTTAATGCATGCAATTAGTGTCTTCAGAACGTCGTCGGACATGGACCGTATTCTCCAAGAGACCATATCATTCGAAAGTGGCACCAAGTCTAACTTTTTGGCAGCCTTCTCCCTACACATGATGTGTGTTATTTCTTTGGCTAATGGCAGACACAGCTGCGCACCGATCGTGTGTGGCTTACCTGCTTTGCTATGCTTAGGCTAGCACAGTATGAAGCCTCCTGTGCTTTGACCATGGGTGCAATACAGGAGTGAATCGTGGACTTGGACTGTTTCAGTTCTTCACGCTTTCTTAGAAAAAAAAAATCCATAGGCTTATCTTTCAGCGCTGAGTGTTTGGTATAGAGGTGTAGTTTGAGATGTGCTGGTTTCATGGAGTCATTACTGAGGACTTCACCACACACCACACAAGAACACAATTGCAGTAAATCGTTCTAAACTCCTTTATTACTCTCAAAACAAGCTTCTCTAAAAACGCCTTTTCCTCCTCACACACGCTCTTTCTCATACACACCACCACACCTCCTCACTCCATCTCCCATACCCGCAACTGTTAACTCCTTCATAACACATGAACAGAACATTATCAACACTAAGCAACCCTCTAGAATAGAATAGAATGCCTTTATTGTCATTATACTTTCAGTACAACGGAATTGTAGCCGTTCCTTATACAGTGCAAGAAGCAGTATCAGTGCAAGAAAGCACGATAAATTATACGCAGGGATATAAATATATATAAAAAAAATCTAAGTAAAAATATACATGGAGGTAGGTGCAGTGTTGACACATATTGCACATGTATGTTGTCCAGCGGAATGGATTATTGCACGTGATTGAAATTGCACATATAACAAGGTAATGTACAGATTATTATGACAGTGATACACTTGTAACCGGAGAGAGTCTGGTCAGTGCATGTGGGAGTTCAGGGTGGTTACAGCTTTAAGGAAGAAGCTGTTCTTGAATCTATTTGTCCTTGTTTTAATGCACCTGTAGCGCCTACCACAGGGCAACAGGTCAAACAGGTCATAGCCAGGGTGTGAACTGTCTATGATAATGGTATTATTGTAGAAATAGATGTCTACATAGTGGCGCTTTGGCCCAGAGGCAATGTCTCTGTCATCGGTGTGGAACCCCAGGGTTCACCTCCTGGGCAAGATCGAATCCTGGTTAGGGCGGTTGGTACCTTCCAGTGGAGTCACCACCCGCAGGAAGGTTTAGGAGGGTTGGTATGGTGCAGTGTGATTTGGGTTGCGGTCATAGAAACTGCTGCCCCTGCGACTCAATAACGGATAAGCGGATGAAAATGAATGGATGGATGGATAGATGTCTACAAATGAGGCAGACCAGGACACACTTCTCCGTCTCAGGGGATTTATTGTATTAAAGGTTTCTGACCATGGCAGGACCAACAACGAATCTTATCTGAACATTCACCAACAAATCCCACCTTCTAATAAATGCTGATCCTTCTTATAGGCATACACAAACATGGTGTTACATAACATTTGGCTAGTAACCGGATAAACATGTTCATTTACCCAATTGGGCTACTGTTGGTCAAAGACAGAGAAGAAGAGGAGGGTGTTTGGTTAGGAGAAAAAGAGAAAAGAGTAAGAATAGAAGTGTTGGTCTGAAGTTTGGAACTCTGAATGTAGGTACAATGACAGGGAAAAGTAGAGAACTAGCTGATATGAGGAAGAGAAGTAGAGTAGACATTTTGTGTGTGCAGGAGACTAGGTGGAAGGGCAGCAAGGCTAGAAACATTGGAGGAGGCTACAAGCTGTTTTATCATGGTTCAGATGGGAAGAGAAATGGAGTAGGGGTGATCCTAAAGGAAGAATATGTAAGAAATGTGGTAGAGGTGAAACGAGAGTCAGACAGGTTGATGTGTGTGAAGGTAGAAATAGAAAGAGTGATGATCAATGTTGTTAGTGGTTATGCCCCACAGGTAGGCTGTGAGTTAGAAGAAAAGGAAAAGTTCTGGAATGAGCTGGATTGGATGATAGAGAGTATCCCCAGGGGAGAGAGAGTGGTGGTTGGAGCAGACCTAAATGGTCATGTAGGGGAAGGGAACAGAGGAGATGAGGAAGTGATAGGTAGGTTTGGTGTTAGGGAGAGAAACTTGAAAGGACATGCAGTGGTGGATTTCGTGAAGAGAATGGAAATGGCTGTGGTAAACACCTATTTTCAAAAGAAAGAAGAACACAGAGTGACGTACAAGAGTGGATGCAGGTCCACACAGATAGATTATACTCTATGTAGAAGAGGAAACCTGAGGGAGATTAGAGACTGTAAGGTAGTGGCAGGCGAGAGTGTAGCCAAACAACATCGGATGGTAGTGTGCAAAATGACGATGGAAGTGACAAAAAGGAAGAGAGTGAAGACAGAGCAGAAGATCAAGTGGTGGAAATTAAGGAAAGAGAAATGTTGTGAAGACTTCAGAAAGGAAGTAGGGGCAGTTCTGGGCCGATGTGCAGCACGTGAGGTTGATTAAGGACAAAGAGGGGAACGTAATCACAAGTGAGGAAAGTGTGCTGAGAAGATGGAAGGAATACTTTGAGGAGTTGTTGAATGAGGAAAATGAAAGGGAAAGTAGAAACGAGGAACCAGAGACTATTGGGAAGAAGGTAGATCAGGTAAGAGAGGATGAAGTTAGAAAAGCCCTGAATAAGATGAAGAGTGGAATGTCAGTTGGTCCCGATGACATACCAGTGGAAGTATGGAACTGCTTAGGAGAAGTGGCGGTAGATTCCCTGACTAGGTTGTTTAACAGAATTTTAGAGACTGACAAGATGCCTGATGAGTGGAGGAAAAGTGTTCTGGTGCCAATTCATAAGAAGGGTGATGCACAGAGTGGTAACAACTACAGAGGGATAAAGTTGATGAGCCATACGATG